CTTAATCATATTTTCTAAAGAGCTGTTCCAAGACTGATTCTAGTAGCACCCATGAGCAGCAGAGGTACATGTTTACATTAATATATATTAATGTTTAATAGAACAGCAGTTTATTTTTGTTGGAATTGCTCAGAAAACATAAGCCAAAGCTGAAGGCAGCATTGGCAAGGAGATTTATAGAGCAGAACTGCAGGGGAAATATAATGAACTACAGCAAGACTGCACAAGAAGGAAAACAAAGTAACACATAAGAGTGATCTGAGGAAGAAAAGCAAACTGTTTTCTCCTCTGGCAGGTGTCATGGTTTAACCCCAGACAGGACATAACCATTCAGCTGCTCACTCCCTCCCACCCAGGGGGCTGAGGAGGAGAATCAGGAACAGAAAAGTAAAACCTGTGGGTGGAGATAAGAACACTTTAATAATTGCACCAAAGTAAAATATAATAATACTAATGATAATAAACTAATGATACTACTATTAGTAGGAGAGGGAAAGAAAGAAGAAAACAAAACCAAAGAAAGGACAAGTAATGACTATGCAATTGCTCAGCACCTGATGACCAGTGCCCAGCCCAGACCTGAGCAGCAATCATCCCCTTCCAGTTTATACACTGGGCATGACTTCTAAGAAAGGAATATCCCTTTGGCCAGTTTGGGTCATTGCTCCTGGCCATAGTCCCTCATGGCTTCTGCTGCAGCTCCTCACTGGCAGAGCATGAAACTCAAAGTCCCTCACTTAGGGTAAGCACTACTGAGCAACAGCCAAAACATCAATGTGCTGTCATTATTCTCACACTCGATCCAAAATCCCAACGTTGCACTGAAGAAGAAAATTATCTCTGTCCCAGCTGAAACAGAACAGTATCCAACCCTTATTCCACACCACTTGTGTCATGCCAGGTCCCACACTTCCAAATACCCCATCACTTTTCCCATCTTTTGCTGGATATACCCACAGATACCATTCTCTAAGTCTATAGGCCATACTTAGAGAAGTCCACTGAATTCATTCAATCCGTGACCCCGGTCCTCATCTTTCATAATAATTTTTCAGGGCAGGAAAGATGGCATGTGGTGTTGGATTGTTGCATGTTGATGATTTCATCATCACTGTGCCACCAGCAGTTGCATGATGTGAAGAGGAGACCCTTCCTTCAAACATCTAATGCAGCACAAGTAACCAGAGTGCCAGGAGGAGCTGAGCTTCAGTACCAATCACTTCCAAATATGCTTCAACACCTTCATAAGCTGCCAGTAGCTCTTCATCAGTTACAGTATTGTGGGCTTTAGATCCTCTGGAGTCAATGTGACTCCGTAAGGATCAGTCTTGAGTCTTCCCCTGGTACTTTCTGCCAGAGGCTCCAGGTAGGACTGTATCCCCTGTCTGTGGTGTACAGCACATTCACATTTTGCCCTGTTCAGACTGGCTCAAGGGCTACAGCATTAATATCTCTTGCTTGACTTTTCTAGAGGCATGATGCTCAGGGCCCCAGTTGAAATCATTCTTCCTGGACACTTGAGAGGGCTGACAATCGGACTGCAGTTTGGAATGTGCATTCTCCAGAAACCTGCAGCACCTAAGAAAGCTTCTATTTCTTTCTTGTTAGCTGGTGGAGACATTGCTGTTGTTTTATGATCACAACCATTGGGATGTGGCAACACACTTCTCACTGCTGTATTCCCTAAAGCTGCATCTCCCGTGCAGGTCCCTTGACCTTTACTTTGTTTTATGGCAAAACTATTGTTAGACTATTCTCTTCCCTTTCTCAAAAACTTCTGATGTATCACCATACAATGATATCACCAACATACTGCAGGTGCTCCCCGGCTTCACCCACTGTTCCACTGCCTCTGGATCCATCCATGGCTGACGGTGGGGCTGCGCTTCCTCCCCTGGGGCAGTCAGTTTCAGGTGTGCTGGTCATTCCTCCAAGTGAAATCCACTGGAGTGTGAGTAGCTCCAATGCTCGTCAACAGAATTTGAATCGCTTCAGAGCCTGTTGGTGGCATTTGAACGCGCTTCCTCCCTCGAGCAGCAGTGCCTGCCAGGGGCATTGGGGCTGGGTGTAATTATTCACAGTTCTCGGCAGATGGCTCCCAAATACGCAGGGCACAGCGATGCTGAGCACACACCGGGCTCGGTCCGCAGCCAGCGGTTCTTACCCAACCAAAAGCCGATACGGGGAAGTACAACAGAACCCAGGCCTTGAAGGCTACAGACCCCAAAACAGCAACAAATGCTGCAAGTATGGTATTGCACAACACAGCCCTGAAAACAAGCACAACCACTCTGGTGGCAAAGAAATCAGCATTGTAACCAGTGACTATTAAACCAATGCAATGAAGGCTTATAACTTGTTTTAATACTCTCTGGTCAGATCAGTCACCATCTCAACTTTCCAGCCCTACGCTGAGCACCAAGGAGACTGTCATGGCTTAATCCCAGACACCAACTACCAGGCAGCTGCTTTATGCCAACCCCTCCATGAGATGAGAAGAATCAGGGAAAATGGGGTGAAATAAGAACGGTGTAATAATTGAAGCAAAATAACTACTAATAATACTAATGTAATAATATTACTAGTATAAAAAACAGAGGCACAGAGAGAGAGGAAAAAAAACCCAAGAGAAACAAGTGATGTACAATAAAATTGCTCACCACTCACTGGCCAATGCCCACCCTATTTCCAAGCAGTGATCATCCCCTCCCAGCTGACTCCCCCCCAGTTTATATACTACATATAAGTATATAAGCATGCATATAAGCATGACATTCTGTTGTATGGAATATCCCTCTGGTCAGTTTGAGTCACCTGTCCTGGCCGTGCTCTCTCATTGCTTTTTGTGCAGCTCCACACTGGCAGAGGATGAGACAATGAGAATATCCTGATAGGAGAAGCACTGCTCAGCAACAGCTGAAATATCAGTCTGTTATCCTTATCCTCACACTGAATCCCAACCACAGCACTGTATAAGCTACTGAGAAGAAAATTACCTCTATGCTAGCTGAAACCAGGACATTTAGGGTCTAAGACTGCAAAAAATTAGGAACTCATCTTTAAAAACACAGCTCTTCAAGCAATGAACAGGCCCAGCTGAAGTTAGTAGGAAACACCTGTGTGATTAGATTGTCAGTACAAAGTTCTTTAAAAAAGAGTTAGAATGTGGTCCTAAAATGCTGAATCCTCAGTGACCCTTCTCAGGTTCATCCCAATGGAGCTCTAATTGCATTAATTTTCTTGGAAAGATGGTCCCCATATGAACTGACCCTTGTTCCCAGCACCTGGGCTTCTTCCAGGGCTCTAAAAATAACTGTTTGGCTGTATTTCCAAGAAATAAAAGCAAAACCTTTCAGGTCTAAGGGATGCCAGCAGAGGAAGGAAGGAAAAGGGAAAATACTGCATCAATCTCGTAAGGATGTACAGAATCTGCACATTACGAAGAAGATGGAGGTTGCAGAGGTGCTGCAATGCCACTGTGGAATGGCAGCCACCCCACCATCCTGGGAGGGAGATGCCCACCCTGTGTAAGGAAATAAAGGCAGTGGGGGGCATAGGTGCAGACTCAGCCTGGCTTCAGGCAGTGAAGGCAGAACTTCATTCTCTGATCCGCATGACTCACATGGATAGGTGGGGCTAGATCATTCCCAAGAAGATGAGTTAAAAAGAAATTTTCGAGCTTAGTTTTAGTCTTGCTAATCTGAAAATTCATTTGCTATTTTCAACTCCCTGCCACAGGCAAGTGAACAAGGAGTAAGGGCTGTGTTGGCAGGCTGAGAGGTATGGAGGGTTCCCAAAAAGCAGTAGAGGGCTGCTGTAGCTTTTGCATTCCAGTAACTGGCTTCCCTTCTCTACCTGGGACAGGACATGCCATCTGTTCCCAGCCATCCCAGGAATTGGGCTGCTGGGAATTGGCCAGGCTGTGATCCAGAGAAGCGCCTGGATACTGCCTCTTGGGGAAGTGATTTCAAAGCAGAATATCCAGCTGTGTGTACTGCCCCTAAACAACAGGACTGCATGGAAACAACAGCCAGGATCCTGGCTTCCCTAAGCAATCACATCTTCTGCAGGAAGTTATGCTGAGCATTGGCACAAAGTAAAAATCCAGCTGTTGATTTCATTTGCTGTAGCATTCAGATGCTACAGGAGCTGATGCTCCTTCCTTTCCATGTCAGAAGGGGAGAACAGCCTGGAAAATACTCCAGCCTTTGGCTAATGCTTCACTTCTCATAGACAAACATGCTCTTTACCTTGCTGCTATCTTAAGTAAATATTTTCTCAAGAATGTTTTCAGCTCACCAGTCTGATGCCATTAATTGATTTCCATTAAATCAGGGGACTGCTTATGTTCCAGATAAAGTACAGTCTGCAGAGTGGCCCCTCAAGCCCTGTAGTTCCTGGTGAAGTACAGCATGGATCAGCTCAGTGCCACTGCCAGCTGGTACAACCTGTACAGGCCACATGGCTTTGGCAGCAAAGATGGAGAGAACCAGTGCAGGGTGTCTCTTGCTGGTTAATTAGTGTCTCCAAGCAAATTCAGACAGAAGTGCAGAGTTTCAATGGTGATAGAAAAATGGGAATAGATGCCAGTAGTACAGTCATACTCCAAAGCACTGAAAGGCCATATCTTGACTGCTGATGCAAGATAATATCACACGCTCTCTTCATGTGGCGCTATGTGGCCAAGTTAATTCCTGTCTTATGGATTCAGTGTCCCAGCATTCATGTTTCTCATGGAAAAGGTGTGTTAAATGGAAAATGCAGGCCTGGGGTATCAGCCTGTGTAACCAGCACAGCTTTTGCATGTGTTTGTAGAGCACATTTCAAAACCAAGCTCCCTGTTTCTGTGAAAAGGGCACATTGCAGGATTTGCATGTGCCCTTCTGCTCAGCTTACCAGGCTGTCATGGATCTTTTGCTGTTTCCATGACTTGCTGGCCCCTCCTCTGGTTCCAAGCTTTTGAAGCTGAGCCCTTTGGCCAAACAGCCCTTGCTGAAATGTCAATACGCTACAGAACACTGGCTCACAGGGTTCATCATGATTTCCAGGCAGTATGTGGCTTTGTTTCTCTGCTTTCTGCTACTGATCCCTCTTTCTCTGGATGCAGGTATGTTGTAGGATATAGCTGTAATGATGCTTACTGGCAATAGACCTCTTTCCTCTTTCCTGTTACTGAGGTGATTTCCACTGCAGGTTTTTGAGCACTGCTGCATGTTTGTCCTGTCTCCTGCTGTGCCTGTGTGTTATTCTAAATCTCTAATTTACTCTCAGAAATGCTCTTTGCACTTGTTCCGCCAGCTAAGGAAAAGCACCTCTAGACTGCTAAATTAATTTTTTATCTTGGTGCACAGACAGCAGGCAAACCACCAGCTGTCTACATGAAGAAAGGAACTGGGATTTACTGTTATTTCATGCAGAACTGGGACGCTTCAAAGCAAAGCACCAATAGCCTGTCATTCAGCTGATGAGTAATTAAAACGGGTAGGATCCACCCTGTTTCAGTAGAAGGCAGAGAAGAGGTAGCTCTTCAGTTGCTCAGTGTATGTCCAAAAACCAGCTCCCCATATTAATAAAGCAGATCCAGTGCTCTCAGATTCCCCATTAGCCATTGACTAGGTCTTGATTGTTGCAGTGAGGAAAGGTGGAAACATAGGTAGCAAAGTCAGAAATTATCCAATACAAAAAAGTGGATAATGCCAAAATTAGTGGATGGATGTCCCAAGCCATGTGCTCAGGCATGCTTCTCTGTCAGAGTCTGTGCCCATGCACTGATACATGTGCCATGTATCTGCAGCATAAGGTTAATTAAAAGCCTTTAAGGAAAGCCATATCAAATGCATACAACCTGACTGAAATTGAGGCAGAAAGATGCAGCTGACATTCCTATAATGACCAAATGCTTATGAAGCACCCAGGGATAAATTCAGTGCACAATATTTCATTCTTCTAAGTAACCTTGAAATACAGGGGGAAATTACCACTATTCTGCACATAATTCAGCAAATATCCAGAATTAGAGACAAATGTTTATGGAGACACCTCACATCACTTCAGACTGGAAAGAACCCTCTCAGCATCTATGATTAGGTGTGTATTGCTGATGACACACATGAGTCTGTCTTTCAACATCCCTCAGGGCCCCTTCAGCAGGCAGAAGATAACTCCCATGCTTTTGGAGAGGAGTCCTGGGGAAAGGCCAGAGATATGCATCAGCCTCAGTCCCCAAATCTACCCACAAGCAGAAGTGAAACAGTTAAAGCACTGAAATGTAAGCTCCCCTACAGACGTAAAGGAGAAAAAGGAAAAAAAGGAAAAACTAGAAATTCCAAGACTTTTTCTGTGTTGTACATGGAGCAAAATTACACATCAGCACTTGGACTTCTTGTTCCTTATCCTGAATTACACTGGGAGAGCACAGTTGTGTGATGTGCTACTGTCCTGAGGCTGAGGTCAGCATGGTGACCATGACATTAATGTGTCCAGTGCACACTTCTGCCAGTTGCAAGCTGATGCAATTCTAGGAAATGAACTCTGCTGATGCCTGCTATCAAACCTATGTTCCCAATATCTTTCCAAATCATGGTAGAGACACACAAGAAGACTCCTTCCTGGCTGTAGTCTGTGGTGATGGCAGGAGCTAGGAGCCATTCACAGGCTCCACTGGGAAATGCAGTCAGCATTCTCCAATACATAACATAACCTTTTCCATAGAATAAAATTAAAGATAATATATTAAAGCAGTGGCTCAAAATTGTGGTCTACTAGAGGAGGGATAAATCCCTTCTTCAGGTCCAACAGGTGGAGGGGTATGAAAAAACATGTGACTGTGAGTGAAGGCAGGACTGTGGTCCACCTGTCACTGTGACTGACTGTATCAACTACAGAAAAATCAGCTTTTACCATGTACACCAGTGCTAGATAACATGACATGACCTTTCCAGTGCCATGTACACCAGTGCTTGATAAAGTGACACAGGCTCTCCAGCTATGTGCTCAGATGCATATGACATGCAACAGTACCTCAGGAGTCACTGACATGCATACAACACGCACAGCCCACTATTGTAACACACCATCTTCTCTGAGTTCTGGCATCTCTAAAATTCCTCTGTTGTCACTTTACCTTGAGGCAGGCCAGAGAAAGGAGACTCTTTCACATCTGCCCATTTTTTTCTTAAGTGTCTCAGAAAAAGCTTGGGAAGCAGAAATGCTTTCAGGGAAAACTGCCCCTCCATCCTCTCTAGCAAGCGCAGCTGTATGACAAACAGAACGTGCCGCTGTTTTTCAGTCTTTCTAAAGCAGGAAGAGGCAAGCAACGTTTTGGAAAGACGAAGACGAGCCAACAGCTTCTTTGAAGAGATAAAACTAGGGTCACTAGAGAGAGAATGCATAGAAGAATTGTGCTCCTACGAGGAAGCAAGAGAGATTTACGGTGATCTTGAAAGAACAGTAAGTAACATAGGGCTGGGCGAGCACTCGTTGTCACAAGGACTCTCCCTACTCAAGGGTGTGCTTTGACACTTTAAACCACCAGAGTTAAAAAAGCACTTTGTGTCCTGCATTTTGCATTTTTCTTTTCTATTTACAGGGGTACACAGCAGCAGTGAGTTGCAGGAGGGCACACTGCATGGACAATCCCAAGCAGTAACCATCTAAGGGATGGTGGGAAAATGGATGCTCTCTAAGACAAACCCCCAGTAATGCCTGCCCTGAGAATACTTTATATTATTGTATTGCGCAACATTTTTTTCAGCCAATCCCACCTCAGCTATACAGAGCTTATTTATATTTGACCCACTTATGTGCAAACAAGGCCTTTCTCTATTAGTATATGAAAATAATGTACAATCTAGAAAACAGAATATTTTATGGATATTAACTGTCACAAACTATAAAGGCAGAAGTGGCATTACTCTGTCTGTAATCCATGCTATGCAACAAGGGCTGTAAGACTTGACTTGATTCTTCTTTAATCAAATCTCACATCTTTTTCTTCCAGGAAGAGTTCTGGCACACCTATTCCGGTACGATCATTCAGGATGTTCTAACAGCTGTGGAACACTCCCACTGCTGCAGCTCTTTGCGTGAGCTGGACTGACACTGAGTGTTTTACAGACCCCAACCAGTGTGCCTCCAACCCCTGTCAGAATGGTGGGATTTGTGATGACCAGTTCCAGGATTATGTTTGCCGCTGTCCTGTCGAATACGAGGGCAAGAGCTGTGAAAAAGGTCAGCTGTGGCACAACTTACCAAAATAAAAATGCCGTTATTGATTCAAATGCAAGGCATTGAGATAAACAATAGCAATCATTGTAATTCAGGATTTGAACTTGATGATCCTCGTTGGTCCCTTCCAACTCAGGGTATTCTATGGTTCTGTGATTCTGCATCATTCTAGCTGTGACAGCTACTGTCATAGCACTTTTGGTGCTGTGGGATGGATCTAACCAGGTAGCAGTCAGGCACTGCAAGGCAGCAGAATACTTAATTGCCCTATAGTGACTTTGTGGGAAAAAAAAAAAGAAAAATTGTATTTGCACACCATCTGAGAAAAAAGAAGGAATTATTTCCTTCTCAAGTGCTGAAGTTATTTTAACTTAGAAGCTCCATGCAGTATGTGAGAACTATACTGCATATGTACAAAGCCCAAAGGAAAGGATCCCATTGTTTATGAAGTTAATACACATCTTTCCACTGATTTCAGAAGACACTGAAACATTGAATATTGAGTGTTACATCCTCAGAAGATGCAGAGTCTGGACAAGAGCTAGGCACTCAAGTCTAGGCAGGCAGTCTCAACAGTCATCCCAGAGCATCTTCCATGCTAAATGGCAAAATGTCAAAGAATTAAAATTTTTCAGTCATATTTTACAATGGTTACCATACAATTACAATATCTCCATTCTCGAGACAGCTCAGATACTGTATAAATGCTAATTGATTTAATTTTATGTATATCTTTCTTAAACAAAGCCTATTCTCCCCTAATCCCTGGAGATCCAGGACTACTTAGCTTTTGATGGAAGGCATTTTTGATGAAGTTGCTCTGCATAAATCACAGAAATCTTTTTTCCTGCTTTGCTTTCCTGATGACATTCCAATTGTAAGTTATCAATGTTAAGCACAAAAATCCAAGTCTTGAATCCTAAATTCTCTTTCTCTGACTTTAGCTGTGGCTGACAAACTGAAGTGCATTTTTGACAATGGTGGCTGTGAGCAGTACTGTACTGACAAGCAGTCCAAAATACGACTGTGCTTCTGTGATGATGATTACACTTTAGCAAGTGATGGCGTGTCCTGCATCCCTCGAGGTAAGATGCTACTAACCTGATGCTAAGTCTAAGCCAGCTCTGGAAGAAAACTTTTCAATATGTACATGTCAGGACATGCAATGCATAATGCTCAGATACCAGCTCCTCACCTCTTTAACTGGGACTAGGGTAGTGCAAGTTAATCTTTTTGCCAATACATAAACTGGCACCTGACTCTTTTGCAGATGCCTACTTGAATTGCTTTATTAGAGGGAAAAGGAGACCCCCTGAGGATATGAACATAACAACATAATGGACAGAGCCACAGGGAGCATGCAAAGTAATTTTGAGGAGTGGTGCTCCCCTGCACACACCTCAATGGAGCACTCATGCAGAGAGCTGGTAATGACAACCTAGCTCTCAACAGCAGCAATTTCATTAGAAAAAAATGTCTACTAATGTGCTTATCCCTTATTAACAGATTCTGCAACACCACGTGATGGGAAAGCTGCTTTTGTTAAAAGCTAGGATCAAACAATTCAAAATTCCTCACAGGCTTTTCAGTGCATCTTTCCCTGCAAGGAAGATGTATTTGTTGCTGGTTGCTTCTTGGGGACCAAAAGAGCTGTAAAATTGGCCATGTGTTGCAAGTAGAAAAAGCTGCGTAACTACCAGGCTGACAGTCCCCTCACTGTCCCTCTGTCATCTCCCACAATGGCCTAAATTTGTGTTGCTCTACACACAGCATTAGAGACTATGGGTGTTATGTGTTATGTCTGTTTAATCTTTCACCAGCTGCCACCAAAAAGCATCCTGTTTCTCCATACCTTGCATGTACCTGTAAAACCTTCATGCTGTCTTCATGTCAGCTGAAGTACTTACAGCTCCACGGAGAGATTGCATGCAGCTCAGCAGAGACTATAGGACCCTGGATCCCAAAGAGGTAGAAAAAGAGCACTCCTTCTCACAGTGTTATCACAGAGGGAAGTGACTGCCAGACAGAAGGGATGGTGTGTTCAGTTACAGCACAGACACCTGGCGCACAGGCACCCCCAAGGGTAGACCTTCTCCTTTACAGGAAAACTCAGCTGGGTAAAGGATGTACTGGAAACACCGAAATTTCCTCTGCACTACAGCTTAACTGCAAGTTCAGTCAGGATTTGATTCTCTTTATTGCCAGTCTTCACATGCTGGCTCAGGCAGAACAAAGATGTGCAGTCTGGAAGAATCCAGCAGGCTCTGGACACAAGCAAACAAGGTAGTGAGGGAGAGGCACACCACAACAAGTTTCTGCCCTTGGGACGTCTTTGGCTCTGCCCAAAAAAAGAATGGCAAGATGTACACCCCACAATTAAGCCTCTCTCACTCTGCCATGGATGCAGTGCACTTGGTACAACTGACTTAAAGTCAGCAGGGACAAAGAAAATGTGTAGACTACAGAGCTTGTCAGGGTCACTTCTGCACTCCAGCCTGCAGCCTACCTCATTGTGTTGATGTGTATCTTAAGCAGGTTTATTGTCTGCAAAGAGCTATGGTAGGTGAGTCCATGTCAATGATGCTGTAAGGGCCTGAACTCTAATAGTAAGAGCATTTCCAGCTGTTTCCAAACTAAAAACTACTATTTACCTGCTGAGCTGCTTTACATTATTTTAGAGAATTCATGGTCCTAGACTAGAAATCAGTTTTTCAGCTGACAAAGCTTCTCTGAAAACATTACACATTTTGCTGTGAATTCAGTACAATAAAATCCTTGTTGCCTTTTGTTGTTTTGGGTTTTGCTTTTTTGTTGTTTTTTTTTTTTTTTTCCCAGTGAAATACCCATGTGGAAAAATACCAGTGCTGGCAAAAAAAAGTTCAACTGCACATGGGAGAATAGTAGGTGGTTTCATCTGTCCTCCAGGTGAATGTCCATGGCAAGTGAGTTTTCAAAAATCTTTCACTGCTTTTATTTTTCAAATTTCCTTATGAAACCACTACACTAAATTCATTGCTTTAAATCTATGATATTAAAAATTCATAAAAAGTGCCACGTCTTGATAACCAAATTCCTTCTTCATCCATAGCCAGCAGATCTACCTGTTTCATATAGGCACCTTAGCTTTGTTCTGGAGTACCTGGTTTCATAGGATTAGAGTGGTAGCACAGCTGTCTCTATCTCCTCACCCCTTAGTCCTTAACTTCACTGCCAGCAAGAATTTTAGTTGCACCTTTAGTTGCAGATACGCTTTGGGCCATAATATGCAGGGCCCATACTACAAGATGAAGAAAATTTCCATGGGAAGCCTTCCCTTGCCAAGTTCACCATGCAGTCAGCGTGGTATTGTCAAACATAGCTGCATAAAAGGATAGAAAGAAGCAATATGAAACCCATCTCTGAGATTTATGTCAAGAACATTTGATGAAAAACATTAATTTGCTTTATGTTGGCAGGCCCTTATAATACAGGATCAGAGAGAAACGTGTGGTGGCACCCTGCTTTCCCCAGAGTGGGTGGTCACTGCGGCTCACTGCTTGGAGCACACTCACCCTAAACAGCTTCGGGTGAGACTGGGTATGTATCTTCCCCTCCTCATCTTATCAAGGTGGTGGCAGCGTCTCAACCTGATAAAATCAGAGTAGGCACCTTTGGCAATACAAGGTAATTGTCATTAGAGGTATCAGACTAGAAACACCCCACATCCTCAAACTTCCAAGGACTCAAGGAGCTACCTGACATGACCTGCGATTAATAACTTTTCCAGGTGAACACAAAATAAATGTTGATGAGAAAACTGAGCAAGAAAGTGGAGTCACCAGGATGATCATTCATGAAGAATACAAGAATGGACAGGTCAATAATGATATTGCCCTCTTGAACCTGGAAACACCCGTGAATCTCACCGACTATGTGGTGCCAATATGTTTGCCTGAGAAAAGGTTCGCTGTATTTGAACTGTCCACCATCAAGTTCTCCACAGTAAGTGGATGGGGACGACTAATAGATGGAGGTGCCACCTCTTCTGTTCTGATGAGAGTTGATTTGCCACGTGTAAAGACACAAGAATGTGAAAAGGAGACCGATTTAAATATTACAGAGAATATGTTCTGTGCAGGAGACCTGTCTGGGGTTAAGGACTCCTGCAAGGGAGACAGTGGTGGTCCTCATGCTACACAGTACAAGAACACTTGGTTTCTGACTGGGGTTGTCAGCTGGGGAAAGGGTTGTGCTGTTGAAGGCAGCTATGGGGTTTACACAAGGGTATCCAAATACATCGACTGGTTGAGGAAGCACATGGACTAATGATGTTGAGCCACAGCATTTCCAGGTCGTGTTATTGCCCCCCAGTTCCTCTGTACTTTTTTCCCATTGAAGGATTCCTTCATTATTTTAGATATTTGATGCAGGCCATACTTACAACACTATTAAAGATTTGAAGTGAGCCTAAGGCCTACTTGAACACACAAAATAACTTCCCTCTCGGTGTTGTCTGTAAACTTGTGTATCTTGTCAAGCAGGCAGAGAATGACCCTAACGAATCAGACACAATGTCCCTCCTCTTCTGCATCAATTTCTGCTAAAGGTCAGATGCTGAGAGAAAGACTGTCAGCAACACATCACGCAGATCATAAGCCTTCCTCCAGCTACCCTCTGAACTTCTGGTAATCAGTGAAGTACAGACTTCCTGAGCCAGAAGTTGCATTAGATTGAACAGTCGTGAATGAATATGTTGTCCATAATTGTGTGCAATCTCCTTTAAACATATTTATGCTTCTGGCTTTCATAACTTCCTATGCTATGGATCCTGTAATATAATGATGAAATAGCAGAAACAAAAATAGAAAAGGTGCTTCCTTTAGCTTATGTTAGAGCAGCTTTCTCCCGCAGTTGCAGTGGCAACAGGGAGATTTGAAAGGGAGGAACTGCAGGCACTCTCCAGGACAAGAAATCTGGAAAAAGGTTGATTCCATATTTACAAGTCTGCTATGAAAACTTGATTTAAATCTTATTGCACCAAGCACTATTGCTATAAGGCTAGTAAGTGCAATATTTAACCCTATATTTATGAGAGATAAAGAATACCACTGATTTAATCTTATATTTGCCTTGAAATTATGCTTGTCTATAGAAAGAGTGCAAATGAAAGAGAATGTTAATCAGCTGTCCAGTATAATTTCAATTGTACTCCTATCCTGAGATCTAACCAGAACAGGATAATTGTCTACCCCTCTGTGAAACGCTGACCGAAGACATTCACTAAAGTCTTAAGGCATAAATGATAGCTCTGAAGCTCTCTGCAAACATACAGTTCAAAAATGTACTTTCTAACCTTAGTCTGAAAACACTGAAAAGGTGCAGAAAATAAACTGAACTAGGAGATTGGAAAACAGTTTAACTATGTCATGCAGAATTTATTCTCTAGATTGTTCAATCAATGCAGAATATCAACTCAATCACAAAAGCTTATCAGCAAGTAGGACACAACTGATCATACTCTATTATTAGGGGAAAACATTGTCATTGTATGGTACATACCATGCAATACTGAACATCCTATAACCTGCTATACTAACAGAGAAGGAAGTTTTACTGTTCATTTAGGTAGTGAATTGAACTAGGAAGGGCAGCAAATTTCAGAGACCTGAGAAACAACAGATGTTACAGCATATATGCACACATGCACTAGACATTCTCTTTACTCCTAAAGAGAGTCCAGTCTCAAGGAGAAAGTAAGTAGTGACCAGCAAATAAAGCTTCATTTTCGTTTAGATGAGGTGCTCGGCACTGTAAAACAATCCCTGACGACCCCTCAAGGTAGAATAGTTTCTGTTTACCATGATCCATAATATGATTTCTCCTCTATAACATTCCAGTGAAAATACTGATATTTGTGAACAAATCACCTTGCAGAAAAAAAGGGTAAAACGCCAAAAAAAAAATCAGTACTAATAACTGCCACACAAAATTACTTTTTCAAAACAAATGTGGGTTTTAGATGACTTTTTAAATATAACAGCCTGCTTAGGAAAGCCAAGAAGACGGAGACCTGACGGACGGCTCTGGAAGCACTGAGGACGTGGCCTCCACCGTGCACTGCGAACTCCCCACAAGGAAGGGGAGACTGAGGCCAGTTGCAGGCGAGCGCCCGGCCGAGGTCACTGCTCCAAAGCGCGGAGCCAACAGGTTACAGAGCTGGATGTGGATGGGACACACGGCCGGGAGCAGCTGCAGCAGCTGGGAGCCCGGCTTTTCCCAGCGCCGGGCCGGGTCCGCGACGGCGTATTGAGGGACCATTCACTTCCCTTCCTCCAAAATAAAAGGTGCAATTTAAAAACTTTAAAAAACAAAACAAAACAAACAAACAAACAAACAAAACAACAAAAAACCCCAAACCAAACAAACTCCACGCTGCCTTGGGCTCTGACAAAATAAAGAACAAAAAGAAGAGCAGCTTCATTCCCCCCGACTGAGAAATCCCGCCGCGGCTGTCACCCTGTCCCGGCGCTTCCGCTATTTCTGGGCAGGGTGAAGTTACGCGGCTTCAGTCTCACCCCGCCCGAGGGGCCGAAGACTTCGGCTCCCGTCTCTCCCGTCCCTCCCGTCCCTCCCGTCGGTCCGTGCCGCCGGCGCGGGCCCGGGCGCGGCTTCGGCGGGCGCCGCCATGGCCGGGTGCCTGCTGCTCCTCCTGCTCTGCTCCGCGCTGCCCGCCGAGCTCCGCGCTCAGGAAGACGGTAAGGCAGCTCCTTTTCCATCTTTTCGGGAGGGGGGAATCTCCCTCCCCAACAGTCTTCGGGGGCAGGGGGGGCCTGCCGGGCGGACGCCGCAGGTCGGTGCCGCGGGCGGGGGGCGCGCACCGGGACGGTGCCAGGAGCCGCGGCGGCGGGGCAGGGCAGGGCAGCGGGCGCCCCACGGCTCAGCCCCGGCAGGTCCGGCTTCTCGCGGCTGAAGGCTGATCAGCACTCTGCCGACCCGCACACCGCCGTCAAGCGGGGAGCTGAGCTTCGAGGGCAGGGAGCTGCTGCGGGCATCTCGGGGACGGTGTAGGAAAGTGGGATTGCCCGTGGGATTGCCCGCCGTTCGCACCGGGAGGACAGCTGCTCTCGCAGCCTGAGGTGCTCTCGTGTGCGAGGGGAATCCTGGCCAAGTCGTGGTGGGATGCGCTTGGCCGGGGAGGAGCTGGGGCACAGCGGGGGAGCAGGTCCCGCTGCCCTCTTGTGCCGCCAGAGTCAGCGCCTAAGTCCAAGGCAACATCAGCAAATAACTTTTCAAAAGCTGTTAACTCTTCCTTCAGTAAGTCGGACTGCTTGGGGTTTAAAACAAGGTCTTTAGCATGTTTCTGGAATATCCTGCTTCCCTTGACCAATGCCTCTTGCTCCTTGATGTCTCTAAAGAAGGAGTATGATAGAGAGCTTGGGAAAAAGAGTGAACAGCCTGAGAAGGAGGCTAATTCGAGTTTACAAAAACATCCGCTTACGCGGGTGGCGTGAAAGCAAAGGAATAGAGAGGTGATAACCCCACCGGCTGTGTCCTGTCACTTTCCTGTTGCTGAAGAAGGGGATTTAAGGGCAAATAAGATAGTGGGTGAATGAACTAATAGTCGCTGAGCTGCAAGTTAAAAGTACTTTCTGTAAGCCTTCCTTGAGAGGAGCCTTCTCAAAGTAAGTGGGGCTTCAAATTATGCATGGGATTGCTTAATATAAATAACACAAACAGAATTTTCCTCCCTCCTTGCCTTCACCAATTTCAGTGAAAGCAGAATAAGTCTTCTCTGTGTTCACTTGGAGGATATTGGGGTATATCATTACTTTTAGCAAGTTTATTTGTCATGGAATTAAGCTGCATGAAGAATGCTCCAAAAGGAATGTGCAGGCCTCCCAGTGAGCATGCCATTGTCCTTGAAGTCACATCTGTAGCACACTCTTCCACACTCCAGCCTAAAAAATATTGGAAATATAGGAAATATTGGAAAGTATTTCCTCAGTGTAAATTCCAGGTGCTAGAACTTGATTAAATGCCAGCTTCCAAACTCTTCACGCTTTCCTAGAAGATACACTCTTTACAGGGTAATTAGCAACTTATTTAATCCCAGGAGGTCATCCTTCCCCTGCACTTGGCACTGGTGAGGCTGCACTGTGAGTGCTGTGTCCAGTTCTGGGCCCTCAGTTTGAGAAGGACCCTGAGACACCTGAGCACATCCAGAGGAGGCACCGAGGGGTTTGGAACACAAACCCTGTGAGGAAAGACTGAGGGAGCTGGGTGTGTTTAGCCTGGAGGAAAGGAGACTTGGAGGTGATCTTACCACTCTCTACAACTCCCTGAAAGGTGGCTGCAGTCAGGTGGGGGTCGGTCTCTTTCTGCAGGCAGCAACTGACAGAATGAGAGGACACAGCCTTAAGCTGCACCAAGGGAAATAGAGGTTGGATAGTAGAAAAAAGTTTTTCATGGAAAGAGTGATAAAGTACTGGAATGTACCAGGAATGTGGTGTAGTCACCATCCCTGGATGTGTTTAAAAAAAGACTGGATGTGGCACTTAGTGCCATGATTTGAACTGTTAGGGCATGGGTTGGACTAGGTGATCCTGAAGGTGATTCTGTGATCTCCCCAGCATTCAGGGAAAGTCATTACATTCAAGACTGAGTATTGAGCAGGAGCAGCAGAAATATAAACCCTCATTGGCAACCTTTTCAAGATTAAAATGAGTAGGAGAGAATTTCAAGTTACTACATTTTGTTTTGAGGTTACTGATTCTCAGAGAGACTGCTCTGAGAGAGCCTGGGATGAATCAGCCTGTGTTTCTACTTCACTCATTTGTCATGACTCTTTTCCACCACTAAATGTTACCCACCTGTATAATTTTTCTCTGCTATCTAGTATTCATCAAGAAAGAAAATGCTGACAAGTTCTTGGAAAGAACAAAACGTGCTAACTATTTATTAGAGGAATTGAAGAAAGGGAATATTGAAAGAGAATGCAATGAGGAGCGCTGCTCAAAAGAAGAAGCAAGAGAAGCTTTTGAAGACCAGGAGAAAACTGTAAGGATAAACTGATATGAAACATAGAGCTTTATATTTATATTTTTAAATTACTATTAATTTCCTTTGAGCTGGGCATCAAAATTGACAAGTTTTCCCCAATCACTTAACACAAAGAACAAATAGTGATTGACCGTGGCTGGAATTGCTAAGGCAACAATCATCCCATAACAGTCTTAATTTAGCTCTTGCATGGCCAGCCCAGGTAAAATCCTCAATTCTTTTACCTGTTCTGATCTGTTTAATTGCCATTGAAAGCTATTTGACGTTCAATGACTTTGCTGCTACCAGTGCTGAAAATACATTCACCCTGTCTTGGGTTACATCCCTAAGGGCCAAGGCAGTCCACAGGAAGTCTGAGAAGGCAAATGCTGACATGGAACCTCATGAGGGAATTTTACTGAACTTATCTGAAGCAGCTTTGCTTGTAATTTTGTAGCTCTCTTTATGTAAAGTGAGAGAATGTATACTGTGAACAGTTCATAAATGCCTTAATGTTGACTGGAATGAAGTTTGTGTGACTCTTGTGTCACCTGCCCTACCCCAATGGCTTGCTTAACTTTAGACAGAAATGTGATTTGTTCCCAAGCTGAAGGGAAAGTTAAAGAGATGGGGCAGGTGTGTGGACTGTAAGTAGAAAAGCTGGTATTGCAAATATATACTGTAGGTATATGGCTGTTCAGAACTACCCTGAAACTGGAGCTAAGACCAGATTAACTTCCCTTTATTATTACTTGATAGCCAGAATGTTCTTGGAGTGGCCCTGAGGTGTCTTGGGTGGGGAGTCCTGAGTGCATCACCATTGTACTTCAGATCATAAATGTTGATTTACCTATAGCAGAACTGGCACAGCCTGTTCTGCCTGGTGACCAGATGTCACTGGAAAGGACTGTCTTGCACAGGCAGCATCCTGGAGTCCTCAGTGCAAATGGAAAGGAGAGCACAAATCAGACAGAATATTTTAAAACGTCAGGATTTGTGAGGTCCTGATTGATGGGAGTATGCAGTGGGGGATCAAGGCTGAGAATTTGGCATTACAGGACTGTAAGTACATTCAGTCAAAACTGGTGGAAAGGTAATTATCAAGAAATCAAGTGGCTTATGGTGAATGGGTCACACTGGAAAAACTCTTAAGGAGGTTCAGATATTTCTGAAAAATGTATGAGACTTATTTCTGTAGAACTGGGCACTATATAGATCATAGGGTTATAAGTTATTAAATGGTAATAGTGGGCTGCTAGGTACTATATGTATCTGTAATGTATATATTTCCTTTAACAATTGTTAGCTGCAAGTATCCTGTGTATGAAAATCTAATATTTTTCTGAGTAATTTGGTAATTCTTATCTAACTCTATTTATTTTTTTTTCCCTCAATTTCTCACTTACCTGTAGGAGGAATTCTGGAACATCTATGTAGGTAAGAAACACTCTGTCTTTGTTCAGAAGATTAAGCTTCCTTATTGCAAAGTTTGAAAGGATGCACCTCTTAAGTAACCCCTTCCTGCTCCTTTGCTTCCTCTCTTTTCACTCTGGGATACCCTCACCTTGTGTTTCCTCTGGAAAAGGAATCAAGCAACAACTGCCTGTTGTTGCTTGAACCCAATTGCTTCATTTGAAGGCAAGGTTCAGCTGTCTCCAGTTGCTGGGCTGACCTTTGTCCTCCCAAAAAAATAACAGTGGTCCTTTGCACAAAGGACAGTGAGGAGCGGAAACTGTGTGTGGGACTGCCAGATAAGTTTTCCTTCAGAGGGGCTGTCCCAGATAAGAGATTTCAAGATGCAAAGAGTCACAGATGAGGGTGTCTCTTAAGTGCCATAACCAACACGAAGTTAAATTACATTGTATAGTCATTTGCCAGTTTCCTGTCCCCTACCATGTCAAAGTGATGTTGATTCCTGTCTTAAAGAGCATTTTTGTGGTCGTGTTTTTTACGGAACTGTTTGGCATTCAAGGAGAATATGCCAATGGATCAGCAGATACTACCTAACAGGTTTCTGTTTTTTTTATCTAAATATGTGAGTTTTATTTATTAGGGTTCTAGTTTTTGTAAGCACTATGCAGTGACAGACTTTTAATGTATTTATATTTGATAATATGTTCTGCAGAAAGTATATGTCCAGTTTGCACACTAGGAGGAGTGCCTCAAAAATGTTGGCCAAAGACAGCTCAGCTTTGTCTTTTGGAATCTGCAGAAAAATGAAGACAGTTGCCATGAAGAAGACATAGACTTTTCACAATTTTCTAAGCATGGGATGAACTCTGCAACCTACAGACTAAAATTTCAAGCAAAGCCTGTGTCAGTATTACAGTAAAGACTATTGGAATATTTCAAACCATTTTCCTATGAGAATACAAGCAGCAGAATATCAGTGCCAATGCTCTTAGTAGAAATGTTAGTTTTCATACATTTTAAACCACAGTCCGCAAATGCTTTATGAGTGTTCAGAAGTATTGAAAACCACAGCTATGTTCAGCCAAGTTACTAGAACAATTTGTTCCTGCTTCCTATTTTAGTAGGGGATTCTGCAATTTGTGCAATATTGATATAAAACTCATTACCACAGCTGCAACTACAGTGTAGGGTAAGACTAAATAAGTATGTTTTCTAACAATAGGATGCTGTTTAGCTAAGACCACTACAGAATAGAACGCTATGGTACTGCAGAGGAGGCAGAAACCAGAAGTTATCCTGTAGGCCTTCAGTCTGTCTTTTTTTTTTGGTTAATGTTGGTCTTGTCTTCCCTCTGTTAAGCATGGACATCAGTTTCCAGAGCCTCCATGGGCAGAGCATTTGGAGAGTTCTTGGTTTTATCCACATACAGGTAGAAAATTGATCTTGATTTGTGGGTGCAGTACACAAAGCCCAGCAGCTGTTCCCCATGACAGGCAAAGCTGCAGCAGATGAGATTACAGTCCAGAAATACCACACAGGGAGCATGCTGGATCCTTAGGATGAGTAGCTTCTTGCAAGTCGTTTCTGCTATGGAAATTGATGTTTCATCTGCTCCAAAGAAGGCCAGAACAAGTGGTAAAATAGATCGATAAGAGGATGTTAGCTAAAGTAGCAAATTATCAAGTGTCATTTTTCTGGATATCTTGCATTTTGTATGAAACAGAGCAGAAACTATAGGGAAATGCAAGGTGCCAGAAGTTCAGTATTTTAGGCAGTAATTGCAATGTGGAAATGTCCTGTCAGCTCTTACTGGCTTCACTGTGTGTATATTCTGACCACAATCATGGTATCAAAGAATATTCAGAGCTGGAAGGATCCACAAGGAATATTGAGTCATTGATTATTCATAAATGAATGGCCCATAAAGGGATCAAATCTGCAACCCTTTCCATATCAGCACCATGCTTTAACCAACCAATCTAATTTCTTAATATTCCCACCAAAAAAAAAGGCTTGTGTATGCATCATAATACAGTGGCCACCAAAAAGAAATTGCAAAACTGAGGATATGTAGATGAATCATTGCAGGTTTGGAATGATTGCATTTATACTGTTTATTCCATCTGGAATGTGGCAACTCACAGGACCTGAATTTTAAAAGGAAGGATGAAAGATGGCATAAGAAAACTAAGAGCTTTTCCAAGTTCATGGAAAATGCTTGCACGCTTATAATAATTTGGGTTTTGGTTTGTTTTTGTAGATGGGAACCAGTGCAGTTCAAATCCTTGTCACTATGGTGGCCACTGTAAAGATGGAATTGGTTCCTACACTTGCACGTGCTTGGATGGTTATCAAGGCAAGAACTGTGAATTTGGTAAGTTTCTGCTTTAGAGAACTGTGGCGGCAAACTTCCCAGGGAGCTTTGTAAGGAAGCATATTTTGCATGGAAATCCTTCCTGGGGCTCACTTCTGTGGCTTAGAGCTGCCCCCGTGACCTTGCCATGGGAGGGGGTATCATTAGCCCAGAAGTAAGTGCGGGAGTGTGAAACTGAAGTTCAGTCAGGAAATTGAGGGGAGTGATGAGGAGCTGGAGTTTTTAGGGCAGGAGGGAGGAACTGTGTGAGGATTTACACAATTATGTTCTCTGTTAGTGTTTTGTTCATTCTTCTCCTGACAATTTGTCTCTGCTTTTGGAGCTCACCATGCCATGGCCACTGGGCCCACTCAGACTTGGCAAGTACGTTTGAAGTGCTGGATGTGGCTGCTTTGTAAGACACAAGCTGATGTTCAGCGCTCACATCAGTTATCCCTAAAGGGTGCTTCACGTGCTTGGCAGGTGGGGATACAGATCCTGTTTGAAGAGCGGGTTTTGTTTCAGAGAACTTCCAGATCTTCTGTGAAGTCAGTGTTTATATACAGTTTTTCTGCTGCCATCTCTTTCATAGTCATACCAAAGTTCTGCAAAATAAACAACGGGGACTGTGAGCAGTTCTGCAGCGTCCAAAGAGATGGGCGGAAGGATGTTTTGTGTTCCTGTGCAGATGGGTATGTTCTAGCAGAGGATGGCAAACAGTGTGTTGCAACAGGTACGAAGCCATGTGATAAAGCAATAGCAGTGGTTGGTGTGCCTTGTTTCACAGTTAAGGGATGTCTTGGTTTACAGTTGAGGAATGTCTTTTGAAACACCAGTATTCTACATAACATAAACTCAAGAGTGAGGCCAGGAGATTTATATTGCCAAAGCTTTCCGTTTGTGAGGTTCTGTGACAGAATGGATCAAAATGTACATGATTTTGAACCATTTGCAAGGTGCCTCTCACCAAATTACCATAGTAAACTCCACTGTTGCCAAGAGAAAAGAAATTGCATTAATAAATAATTTTCTTAAATACTTACACATCACATAAATTGGCAGCCTGCAAAACTTTTCTTTTCAAAATTTTCTTTTTCTAGAAACTGAAAAGTAAGGTAATTATAATTAATGCTACTTACACATGTACATTTTAGGGCTTTTATATAAAGCCTGGCCAGTGGTTGTCAAATATATGCTAATTATATTGTTTTTATATAGTTTTAAAAAATAACTAATTGCTCTCATAACCCATATTACTTCACTCTCTTTCCTTGTAATTTCTAAGAGGTTTTCTCTGGTGTTTCTCTCCATCTTTAATTTTAGCATTCTTTTCTTTACAGTAAAATACCCTTGTGGAAAAGTCTCTGTGGTAAGGAAAAAAAGGTCTGTTCTTTCACCCACTGACCATAGCAATGGAACAAGTGATCAAGAAGATCCTCCTACAAACATGAGTGCAGAGGAGGACTTTGCAATTACCACAGAGAGCCCAACGCCTCCGCCTGACAACAGAACAAGTGGCAAGACTCCGTATGTGGATACCAGGATAGTTGGTGGGGATGAGTGTCTTCCTGGCCAATGCCCATGGCAGGTAAATGGAGGGGGCTTTGCCCTGCATGTGGGCAGAGCGTGTCTCTGAGGCAAGGTGAGCAGTGGCTCCTCCCAGCTGGGTGCCTTCTGAACGTCACCCATGTCACCTGCCAGTGGCAGTGAGATGTGGCTGAACTGTGTGGCCCCGGGCACTTGGATGTGCTGCTCTGCAAACTGCAGCCTCACGGGTTCGAAACAAAAGGCTTTGTGCCATTTTAGATGGAACTGCCTACCTTATCCCCAGAGAGCACTTCTGGGTCATGCTGATCTCCCGGGCCATCTTTGCAGGTTACATTTTGGTTCTGTCTGACACCATCCACTCAGGCAGCACACCTGAGAGCCGGGTGATAAAGCAGATAAAGCCAGTGTTTTGGTTCAGAAACACACCCTCATGTCTCAGTTTTACTCTTGAGTTTGGGCCAGCCAAAATGAATTCCTGTATTTGGCGATTGTCCAAGGGATGGGGTGATCTGGAGTCTGCACTCTGCCTGCTCAGTCAGTCAGTGCCTGAGAGACATTACTCAGCACTGGGAGTGAGGTAATGTGGAAGCCAAATGTTAACTTCACATAAAGACAATCAGGATTCTGTAGCAGTAGAAGTCAATCTGTAGTTTCTGAAGATGGGAATGCAGTGCTCGGAGAGACGTGGAGGTCCACATACATGTTGCAGTAAGAAGCATCTCTGTATTGTGCAGAGAAATCAGTTTCCTCATTATAGCTCATCTGCGTTAAAGTGCACTTCTTCCATGTGCCCTTGCGTTCTTTGCTTCACAGGCTGTTCTGTTAAACGAGGAAGGAGAAGAGTTTTGTGGTGGAACTATTCTGAATGAAAATTTTATTCTTACTGCAGCTCATTGCATAAACCAAACCAAAGAAATCAATGTTGTTGTTGGTGAGTGATAATTTCTTTTACTCCTTTGAGGTCAGAGTATCTGTTGTGCCTAACCTTCTATGCCTTAAGTCTCCCATGAGATGTACACATGATTCAGTAAGGTTTGTTACCTTTCTGCTGCTTTCAATCATTTCTTGTTATTCTGACCATCCTTCCTTGTAACAACAGGTGCCTCTCTTGCTTCTCTGCCAGCTAGCTGGAAGTGATTAGAGTCAAGTATTCTAGAAATGTTGGTTATCAATATTTTCAGCAGAGCAGTGCTTCTGCAGGAAGCTCATCATTCCTGGCACTTCAGAAGCATCCAGATTTGTTCTTGCAGGAACCCCCAGGAAAGCTATGACTCGTTGAATAGAGTACAAAAGAACAAAATGAGATTTATCATTGCTTCCCTTTTGAGCCAGGACACAGGATCAACCCAGCTTCATCTTTGCACTGTTGTAGTCCAGACCATGTTCTCTTCTCTACATCAGGCTCAAGCTCCTGTAGGTGCTTCCACACAAAATTGCATTAGTTTAGCTGAATCAGCTTATGCCTTTGTGTAAACTGGTACAAAAATCTCCATAGGCCAAATCTCAGGACCAAAGCCAATTCAGCTGCTGCTAAGAAATATTGCCATACCTGTTTACAGTTTCCTTGTGTGGTCTAAGGTCCTGGACAAAGTACTCAGAATGAATATACTACTCTCTTCCTCTGTCAAGGTTGTTCTGAAATTCCTATATTTTCTCCACATTAATGACCCTTTTCATGTTCTTGTGCAGGTGAAGTGGACAGAGAGAAGAAAGAGCAGTCTGAATCAATGCACACTGTGGACAAGATACTTGTTCATTCCAAATTTATTGCTGAGACTTACGATAATGACATTGCCTTATTAAAGCTGAAGGAACCTATCAGGTTTTCAGAGTACGTCATTCCAGCGTGTCTCCCCAAAGCAGACTTTGCTAATGAAGTACTGATGAACCAGAAATCTGGGAGGGTTAGTGGCTTTGGGAGGGAATTTGAAGGTGGGCGAACGTCAAAAAAACTGAAGGTGCTCGAAGTCCCCTATGTCAATAGGAACACTTGCAAGCAGTCCACTAACTTAGCCATAACTGAGAACATGTTCTGTGCTGGTTATGACACAGAGCAAAAAGATGCTTGCCAAGGGGACAGTGGTGGCCCCCATGTGACCAGGTATAAGGATACTTATTTTGTTACTGGAATTGTTAGCTGGGGCGAAGGATGTGCAAGGAAAGGCAAATATGGTGTCTATACCAAACTGTCCCGGTTCTTGCGCTGGGTAAGAACAGTCATGAGTTTGTAGTGGTGATGTGTCCCTTGATCCTTCTTGTTAGCTGCCAAGGTGCAGGATAAGAAATGGAAGCTTCCTTTTCCTGCATATCTGCTAAGTTTGTTTTGAGATCTGGTTCCTTAAAGTTATATTCTGCTTCCATTTGTATTATTCCTGGCTTTAAAGCACACATCTGGAATTGGTTGAATGAGGGAATTTCCCCAAGCAAAAAGGCTGCTGAGTGAGGTCTTTGGCTTCTTGGAATTATTTATCAATGTCCATTTTCGTTCCTATCTGTTGCTTTGAGTGCTCCTACCAGAGGCTCCTAAACATGTTCTGAACAGTCACTAGTCATGATGAAAGCAGGAAGGATGGGAGTCAGTTAATCCTCATATTGCAACCATCTGGCTCAGCAGGGAGTTTGTCCATGCTGGAGATGTTTAGCTTTTACCTTAAGATTTGTTCAGAAGATTAAGAAAGCAGGGGATCTTGAATGGCAAAAGCTGAGACTCAATTAATTAATGTGATACTAAAAAATCACAGATTCCACAAAATGGCCTGCTCAGATCACAGCAGCTCATTAAAAGGGGGTTTTGTTTTATAAGGATTGTACTTCACTCTGGCTTAATTTGTACACACTGCTCATCAGAAAAAATATATAGGCACATTTACTATTTTCTGTATCTTGTTCTCCATTGTGTATGGCTAAGGATTGGAAAACTCCTTTCATGTGTATGGCTCTAGATGTTCCTGTTAAGTGCAATATTGATGTATACCAGCATTTGAAATAAACAGTTCTTTCTTTTTTGTTCTCCTTTGGTTGGGTTTTTTCATAAAAAAGTCCCATCAGCCTCTATTCCCCTTACAATTCCGATGGCTTTTGCAAAGCTTCTCCAATCTCTTATGTTCCCCTGTGCTCTGGAACACTGAACTTCCTTAGGCACCTGCTCCGTCTCTCTTGGGCTTTGAGCTGGTACTGGCTCATTTCACATAGCAGGTGCTGTGAGCAAAGCAGACTGAAAAACTCAAAACACAGCTCTGGAAACAGCAAGCATTGCTGCAGTCAGCACTCATTGTGGGCAGGAAAGTGAGTGGGCAGGTCAGGTATCCCAGCTTGATGGTCTTCACCTGTACAACTCCTCCGTGGGCTTACTTCAATGTTTGCTCAGCAGTGTTTGTTCCCTGAGTTCTTCTGTCCACTGGACTCCTGTTCAAATCCTTTGTCCCATGGGTACTGTGCTTTGTGCTCAATCAAGGTGAAAGAACCCTCTTCAAAGAAAAGCCTCAGGCCTGGGTCCTACCCAAATCCTACTTACATACTCTTGCTAAGTGCTTTCTTCTACTTAAGTGGAGCTTGAGAGCTGAAGCAAAACACAGAGTGGGCTGTAAAGGTGTTGAGGTAACTGAAGGCATCACTTTATGTCCATTGCTCTTTCTGTGCCCTGCTGAGAGGACATGAGTGAAACATCTGCTTACCTCTGGACCTCCAATCAAAGGTCATAAGCAACCCCAGGGCCTGCAGCAAAAGGGAGAATTAGAGCACATTCTTTTTTAATGTTGACAAATGATTTGGGAGTGATTTCACATAGCAGATTTGAACAGATTGCAAAATCCAGCTGCTGAGTAAACTGGTGGATTTTGCGATACCGGAATTCCTCCTGGCAAGCACACACAGCTGGCTTAGGCAAAAGCTGGCATGTACCAAGAATGGTGGACAGAGAGGCTCAAAGCTACCCTCTAGTGCTCAGGCTTCCTCTGCCTTCAAGGAAAAGCCAGCCCTGAGACTTAAGGGAAGAAGAGAAGGATGGCAAGTAAGCCCTGTGACTAGAGAAGACCTGCAGTAGATTTTCCCAGGAGGGCACTGATGCTGGTTGTCTTCCAGAGTAGGAGATGTAAGGAGATGTCAGGTGTACAGCATGATGGGGGCTGCAGATGTGGATAAGCTGCCCTTTGTTATGGCATCCTACAGTATGGAAGGAAAACACACTGCAGCAGGCTCCATGTCCAACAGGAAGCAACTTCCCAGATAGCTTCTTCCCTGGAGCCTTGGCCAGCGTGCCAAAAATATAATAGAGGTCAATTTGATCCCCTGTTGACTCAGTAGGTTGGGCTGGGTGACCCTTTAGTTCTCTCCAGCTCCAGTTTTCTGTGTTCCAGGTGAGCAGCACCAGCAGAGTGTCACTTTTAGGATCATGCCTTTGTGCCTGCACTAGCATGGTAAGAACAAGCTTCCTGTGTACTGCTCCCTGGCACTGGTGACTCAGCTGGCAGGATTGTCTTCCACAGTCTGATTCCCAGACCACAATGACCTGTCAAGAGCTGTCCCCTTGGAGTGGATTGAACAAAAGGAAACAGCACATGAAATTCGTAACCCTCTGTCTTAGCTTACAAAGATGAGATATACACAAAAGTATGTATTCTATCAGCATCTTCATCAGCTGTTAAAACGACATGGGGCAGTATTCCTTGTCTCCTAAATTACTCATCCTTGATATCTCCAGGGGATATCTTTTCTTAATTGGCCATTGAGTGTCACTGCATGACTGATAAATTACATCATCCCATTGTGAGATGCTCCACCCAGGGGGAGGAACCAAGCATTCCTACCTGCATATAATCTGAGACTTGTAACAGTCACAATCAGCCTTATCCACTGAATTCCCAGAGGACAAGTGTTCCATAACCACCACTGGACCTTCAGAGGAAGAACAAACCCTTCTACAGGATCACTTCTTCAACAGAACCACATCTATCACTTCAAGAGGACAGCAGCCACCAGTTAATTGGACTGCTACCAACACCCGGACTAACAGAGTGTCAGGTTGTATTTTGACTCTGTCAGTGTTTCTGTAGTATTACATTTGTTTTAATTTTCCTATTAAATTGTATTTCTGACTTGGGATCTCCCACTGGTTTACTTTCAAGCAATAACACCCCTCTAACATTCATACTAGGATGGAAATTGATGAATATGGGGAAGTGTGCTCTGTCCAAGTGTGCTTGTGATGGAGCTGGTGCGTAACAACTTTCAAATGTGCTCGCCAAAATCTGCAAACCTGGTGCCGTGATTCACTCCTCACTTCTGGGCTGCCTTCCTGCTTCAGCACTGCATACAGGAGGCACCAAGTCCTGGTTCTGGTTGTTCTGCAAGAGCCACATCACTACTCTAGCTCCTTGCTGCCTGCGTAGTCCAGCTGCTTTAGAGAGGCTTTGTCAAAATTTCTGGAGGAAAGCCTCTTAGAGGTGCTCTGCCAACGCAAAGCTATCAGTGTGGCATTGCTGCAGCACACTCACATTTTTTGTGTCTAAACACTGTGCCATGGTGACACTGAGTGCAGACTTTGCTCTCAGAGGTTTTGTTTTCTCATGCGTGAATGGCCTTTGCACTGTGGTGTTTCTCATTTAGCAGCTGTCCCAGAGCCCTGCGGAGCCAGCAGCGGGTGATGCGCAGTGAGCTCGGAGGATGGGCACGGCAGGTCATCGTGGGACAATGTGTCTTCTTCCCGTTGTCCTCCTTTTCCTTCAGATGGGGCATACAGGTAGAGTGTTTGCTTTAACTTGGCCCTGTGCTGCTTTGCCTAAGCCACACAGGCAGTTGTCAACGTTCTTGCTTTGTGGGGCAGGGGACATGAGTGAACTGCCGGTGGCTTTGCTGTCTCACCCACCTTCCTTCCCTTTGCCAGCTGCAGTGTAATGGTATCCAGAGCTGAGGCACATGGGGAATTCCATTTTGGAGTGACAATTGTGTCAGTGTAAATTATGGGGTCAGTATGTTGATATGTAGTGTTTTCAAATGCTCGGCACAATTAATGGGCTAATTCTCATATTCTCAGGAGGCACGATAATTAAATAACCCTTACTATCTATTTGTAAGCTGAGGGACAAAATGATGCTCACAATATTTAACTGTACAGAGAAGAATAAGAACCCTACCCCATATGTTGCTGTGATTTTCTAATTAGCCACACAAACATCACAGCTGGACTTAATAAAATTAATTGTCCCACCTATTCTGACCCTCCTCCACAACAGGGGCAGAACAGGTGCTAAAATTTAGAAATTTGTCTTGTCTAAAGCAATGAATTCTTAAGCAAATGTCACTTTTCTGGATATCCTGCTTGTATGAAACAGTGCATCCCCGAGAACATATGTGAGGGGGTAATGCATTTTTTGCAGCAGAGCACAAAATGGGAAAGACCATGTCAGTGAGAACTAGAAAAGGAATGAGATGGATGGGAGAAAGCTGCTAGATGAAATGTGTCCCCAAGTACAGAGTTACCTCCCTGTCCTCCATGTAACTGTGGGGCCCTAGAGTCAGGTCAGCCAGTTGTGTCCAGGAAAGGAAGAAAGGCTGCAGAACTCAAGATGCCAGCATAGATGTAAGAGGTAATTACTACAAGGTCAAGCTCATGCCTCGATGGATACAGTGAGAAAATTTTGATGCTCTACGCAGTACAGAACAGAAGTTTGGCCTGCTCATATGAATTTAACAGGGTTTAGTAAAGCATGGAGATTTTATTAGCTTCTGTTTAATATGCCAGAATCTGTGTCTTTAAATGAACAGCTATGCAAGCAAAAGACACACACAAGGCCTGAGATGACCTTTAAGGAAATAAAAGTTGGTAGTTTTTAGCCAGTAGTTACAACATAGAAATGTCCTGTCTGGTTTTACAGGATTCATTGTAAGTTATGTAGATTCTGACCACTATGTATTACTTAATCTTCCCATAAAAAAAGGCTTGTGTATGCATCATAATACAGTGGCCACCAAAAAGAAATTGCAAAACTGAGGATATGTAGATGAATCATTGCAGGTTTGGAATGATTGCATTTATACTGTTTATTCCATCTGGAATGTGGCAACTCACAGGACCTGAATTTTAAAAGGAAGGATGAAAGATGGCGTAAGAAAACTAAGAGCTCTTCCAAGTTCATGGAAAATGCTTGCACGCTTATAATAATTTGGGTTTTGGTTTGTTTTTGTAGATGGGAACCAGTGCAGTTCAAATCCTTGTCACTATGGTGGCCACTGTAAAGATGGAATTGGTTCCTACACTTGCACGTGCTTGGATGGTTATCAAGGCAAGAACTGTGAATTTGGTAAGTTTCTGCTTTAGAGAACTGTGGCGGCAAACTTCCCAGGGAGCTTTGTAAGGAAGCATATTTTGCATGGAAATCCTTCCTGGGGCTCACTTCTGTGGCTTAGAGCTGCCCCCGTGACCTTGCCATGGGAGGGGGTATCATTAGCCCAGAAGTAAGTGCGGGAGTGTGAAACTGAAGTTCAGTCAGGAAATTGAGGGGAGTGATGAGGAGCTGGAGTTTTTAGGGCAGGAGGGAGGAACTGTGTGAGGATTTACACAATTATGTTCTCTGTTAGTGTTTTGTTCATTCTTCTCCTGACAATTTGTCTCTGCTTTTGGAGCTCACCATGCCATGGCCACTGGGCCCACTCAGACTTGGCAAGTACGTTTGAAGTGCTGGATGTGGCTGCTTTGTAAGGCACAAGCTGATGTTCAGCGCTCACATCAGTTATCCCTAAAGGGTGCTTCACGTGCTTGGCAGGTGGGGATACAGATCCTGTTTGAAGAGCGGGTTTTGTTTCAGAGAACTTCCAGATCTTCTGTGAAGTCAGTGTTTATATACAGTTTTTCTGCTGCCATCTCTTTCATAGTCATACCAAAGTTCTGCAAAATAAACAACGGGGACTGTGAGCAGTTCTGCAGCGTCCGAAGAGATGGGCGGAAGGATGTTTTGTGTTCCTGTGCAGATGGGTATGTTCTAGCAGAGGATGGCAAACAGTGTGTTGCAACA